GATGAAAATGATTAAAATGAATAATTGGTAATTTGAAATAGGAAAACGTCCAAAGGTGTAGGGGTGGTGGGAGGGGAAGGGGAAAGGGAAGGGAAAGGAAAAATTATGAGAAAAGAAAAAAAAATGGAAACGAAATCTATGTAAATAGGGAAGGGTGGAGGGGGTGAAGGGCACACAGGTAATGGGGGAAAAATAAGAACTAAGATACATCATGTACAGGTACAATCACCCAATGGTAAATGTAAACATACTGCATACCTAAAATGTACCAATAAAAGAATTAAAAAAAAAAAAAAGAAGCCCACAGACATGCATGGGAGTCCAGGCCAGAACTCCCAGAATTATGAACCCCAGTACTACAGGAAGGAGGAGTGCATGTGGATCAGCAGCCTATGACATCACTGCATCCCAAAATCTGCTTTCCCCTAAATAACAGAAGTTGCCAGGCACAATGGTGCAAGCCTGCAATCCTAGCACTCAGGAAGCTGAAGCAGGAGGACTGCTGCAAGTTCAAGGCCACCCTGTGCTACATAGTGAGTTGAAGACCAGCCTGAACTACTAGCAAGACCCTGTCTCAAAAATAAATAACAACAGGGGTGGGGATTTAGCTCAGTCAGTGGTTCTGCCACCTGCCTTGCAAGCGCAAGGTCCCAAGTTCAATCCCTGGTACTGGGAAAAAACAACAGAAGCTTTACAAAAGGTGCTGAGACGACAACAAAGGGATGGGCAGCCTGGTGTCAACTACCCAAGGGAGGAAGGAGAGGAGCTACTGACTGCTATCATTAATGTACCTCCAACACTCCTCCATTCTTGTGAAATGTCCACATTAGGGACAGGAGAACCACAAAGCTGGGGAGAACTTGGCCATTTGGCTGTTGAACACATGTGGCCAACCAGGGAAGTAACAAGAAAACTAGGTTCTTAGACACAAATCCCCATCGAGGGCTGCAGCTCTGGATGACCAGAAGTTTCCTGCTGTAACAAGTCACTGGTGGGGCAAGGAGGACAATGGAGTGTAATGTAGAGATGTGAGTAGGGAGGAAAGGGATTTTTCTTTTTGTATCACAGACCAAATTCAGACCTCGTGCTTGCCAGGTAGGCACTGTGTCACTGAGTGACATCCTGCCCCCTCCCCCCTTTTTTGTAAAGGAATTTTTAATGACTGCTAGGAGTTTGGTTATGGTAACGTCCCTGTTTCATGCCACAAAATGTCATGGAAAGAAAGAGAAGAGATCCTCTTCCTGAGCTTTTGAATGCAGGACTCTTGTTGTCTTATCAGCGTGGGAATCAAAGGCACCCAGAGGTAAACTGCCTCCTGTGGCCAGCTGCACAGGCTTTACCTTTAGGAAGACCTAAAATACATGTTTATAAGTTTATCTAGCTCTTGCGCCAGGAACTCAAAGGAGAGATTAGAGAAGCTGAAAACTGCTTTCTGCCTCCCAATAATGGGAAAGGAGGGTGCTGAATGCTTTCTCTTCTTCAGTGCTGGGGATGGAACCCAGGACCTCTAGTATGCTAAGCACATGAGCTACACCCCGAGACCCGAGTGCTTTTCAACTCAGGTTTTCTGAAGGGTGAGGGTTCTAGCTGCAAACCTCCCTCCAGTTCATGCTCCCTTCAACCTGGCCCAGAGGAGCTGCCCCAAGGCAATGTGGAGCAGTTCTTTGCTCCTCAAGAACACATCACAGCGGGCAGGGATCACAGGCTGGACCCAGAACACCCTCATTTCCCTACCTAGAGCCATGGGACTAGATCATTTCACAATGTCGGCAGGATACAAAAGCAGCCCAAGAAAAGCAATACTTTTATGTTTTACAAAACCTAGGGAAACTTCCCCCCTTTACTTTAAAGGAAAAGGCTTTGCTACTAGGAAAGTAAGTTTGATTTTTTGTTTTGTTTGGAGACAGGGTCTCACTATGTAGTTCAGGCTGGCCTTGACACCCGGTGATTCTCCTGCCTCAGTCTCCCACTGGGATTACAGGTATCTGCCAACAGGCCCAACCTCTCTGGCTTTTATAATACTTAGCATAGCACAGAACAATGTCAGAGGCTGCTTAATTAAATGGGCACTTCAGGTAATTGTGATATACTTCTCACAGCAAGAGCTGACCTAAAATTAGAATAATAGCTACAGAGCTAAATAATTATGTCTTTTTTTCTAGCTCTAAAAAGACTACAGATCTAAAGCTAATATCCTTAATTAAAACAAAAGTAACACAGGGCTGGGGATTTAGCTCAGTGGTTATACTGCCTTCCCTGAAAGTGCAAGGACCCAAGTTTGATCCCTGGTAAAAGTAACACAAAAAGACAGGAAGAGATATAGCCCTAGTAACAGGTACAAAAAAACCACAAAACATTCATATGGGAGAAAGGAAAACATACTGTTTCACATATATAGACACTCATACATGGGAACAGGAGAATATACAATAGATGATGGGCCATGAGGGTCTTTTGGGATACTGCCTGAGGACTTTTACATTCAACTCAGTGAGCATTCATCTAATGAATATCTAGGAAGAGAATCCTGTTCTGCTTTGTTTTTAAAATGAACTCAGTCACATCTACTCTTCCACTTGGGACAACAGGAAAGCCAATCCCTCCCTTGTAATGGGACCATAGCAACATTCTTGTGCAGCACTTGGGAGGGCAGATGTATACCATCCTGCACAGGGCAGGAGTTAACACCCTTATTTCATGGGCCATACAGACACTGAGAGGGCCAGAAAAGGGACCACAGGTAAGGCTTGATATCAAGTTTAGTCTTGATGCTTTGTCCATAAAGTTCAGCACCCACATTGAGGGTCCAGGGAGCATCCCTAGGGCTGAAGTCAAGTCAGAATCCTCACTAAAAAATGAAAGTATACAAGGAGCAAACTTCATGGTCATTACAATTCCTACCAACTCGTTTGGAGCCAGAGTGGGCAGTGCCTGAGTCAGGTCCAGCTGAAACAGGCTCTCGGGGCCCTACCAAGTAGGCCCTGGCATCACGTACTTGCAAAAAGAGATCAAGGACCCTCATGTACTCTCTCCTCCTCCTTACAGCAGATATGTAGAGAGAAGACTGACAGCCCTACTTTACCAAGGGCTGGGACACAAGATCCCAGAAGCTCCTTGTCATTCCTGGTCCTTCCTGTTTATAGTAAGTGACTCAAAACCTACCATTTTCTCAGGTTCATTACCTGGAACCAGAAAATAGCAAGCTTGTTGCCAAAGAACCCTGGGGCTTCTTCTTTCTCTTTTTTTTGGCACTGGGGATCGAACTCAGGACCTTGTGCTTTCAAGGCATGCGATGGAACCACTGAGCTAAATCCCTGGCCCCTTCTTTCTCTTATATAGCTTGGAAATAGCCTCTGTGGAGACTCTAAAACTCAGGAACATGACTGTATCCAGCTATCTCTGGATACAGCTCTCCAATCAGCCTGATTCCTGACCCAAGAGATACAGGAGTAAGTGACTACAGCTAACTCCTCTTGAATCAGTACTCTAATAAACCTGTGGGTTAGGTCTACTTCTAAGTTCCATCTGAGAGCTACCATCTGTCTTCTCATGACCAGTGAATAGCTCCAATGTCACACTTCCTTAAAGAGAGCTCTCTGGAAAGGACAAACCTCCTACAAATTTGACTAAAACTTATATGTTCCAAACTGATAAGCAAATGTAGTCAAGATCTTGCTCACATCAATGAACATTTATCCTTCCTAACCCATAGTCAAAGGTGATGGACTCTCTTACTCTGTCAGAACAAGGAAGATATGAGTAGTGGAGCCTGGGGTCCTCCACCGTGAGAGTGGCCAGGAAGAGTGGTGGTCAACCTCATGACACACCAGCTCCTTGACAGGAACCTCTGACTATATCAGACACATTGGCTCCTACTACCTTTATTAAAACAATTATTTTGTCAACTATGTACTACTTGAATTTTTACTTCAGTCTTCTGTCATTTACCTTTTAATGTACTATTTCTATTATCCTCAATTGAATTGTAAAATCTGAAAGTAGGGAGGGCTCTGATCTAATCCAACTTTGAGTATCCAAAGTGACATCAGGACAGTGCCTGGCGCATAAGAGGTATTAAAAAATAATGGCTGGATGTTTACTGGCTCATTTTCATAATAAATTAGATTCTGATTTATATTCAAGAAAAGAATTTGTTGAGTTGACAGGAAAGAGAAGCCCAACAGAAACTGCAGGGAACAGCTCAGCAGGCCACACCCAGCTAGGAGCAGGAGATTACCAAGTTTGGAACTTCCCAAAGGAGCAATATGTGAGCAGGCTATCCCAAAGATCCTGCTGGGGAAACCAGTACTGTCAGAGCCTTCCTGCAGTCTGGCCATACAAGATTGCAGTTTGGCAGGACGGATGTGTGCTCCCTACAGTCCAGGGTTACAAAACATGGGAACAGTCACCTTGTTAGACGGCTGCCTCTCCTTCCTGCGGTACCATAGTGTAGAAGAATAAACACATCAACCACAACCAATTCCCCAGTGCCCAGGGACTACTGACTTCTCAGAGGCAGGCTTTACACTGGCTGAAATGTAATAATCTCCAGCCCCTCAATGGACCATGTTTTAGAGTACGTCCTTAGTTTTTGCTCAGGGGTTTGCTGAGGGGAGGCAGAGAAGTCTAGGTCCTTTTCCTCTTAGGGTTATAAGACCCTCATACGTTGCCACGCATGGTGGTGCACACCTGTAATCCCAGCACCTGGGAAGCTGAGGCAGGAGGATTGTGGCAAGTTCAAGGCTAGCTTGGACTACACAGTGAATTCAAGGACACCCTGAACTACATAGTGAGACCTGGTCTCAAAAACTCAAAAACAAATTTCAAAACAACTTAAAAAAAAAAAAAAAAAGACCTTTCAACATGCCCTCCCCAGCTCTGCTCTGCTCCAGGGGCACAGGATGTCCCAGAGTCTCACCACCCAGGGACACAGGCCCCAGGAGGAACCCTCAGGCCCAGGGAAAGGGGTGAGCCCTGGAGGTGTGCCCAGAAGTGCATACCTAGAGCTTTTACAGATATCTGTCGAGTAAGCGGAGGGGGGATGTTGATGCACACCAGATCCACGTCCTGATGCAGCAAGACGTCATCAGTGCGGCTAGTATAGAAGGTGATGTCCATCTCCTCCGCAAGCTGCTTCGCCTCCTCCTCTGTCTTCCCCCACAGGGCCTCCACAGTGAACCCTTCTGCTCTTAGTAGTGGGACCAGGACCCGGGCTGAGCTGCCAGTCCCAAACACACCCACTCCCGGCAGCATCTTCATCCCAGCCTCTGCTCACTGCCTCATCTCCTCACAAGGGCCTCCAGCATGGAGCTGATCTTCCCACCGTCCTGGTCAAGCATGGCTCCTAGAACAACAAGCAACATGCCACAATTAGTAGGGAAGGGCACACTCAGACAAGGCCACTCTATTAGCTTGTATTTGGAGGCAACAAGTTCTCTGCCCAAAAAGCACAAATAAAATACAGTGACATCTCGGTTCATGAACGCTTTTTTTTGGTACCAGGAATCGAACTCAGGACCTTGTGCTTGCAAGGCAGGCGGTGGAACTACTGAGCTAAATCCCCAGGCCTCATGAATGCTTTTATTTGTAAACTCTGCACTGGGTGACAAACATGACCACGGCCATCTTTCCCACACAAACACAAACGTGACTATCTTTTCCAAAATCGTAGAACAAATTAAGTTCGTGAACTGAGGCACCATTGTACTGCTTCCAAATCTCCATGGAAATTGAAGGATAATAGTAATAGCCATCTACTGCAAGTCAGAGAAGGCGGGAAAATGAAAAGTGGGTAAAGGCACCAGATGTGGTGATGCACATCTGTAATCCTAGCAATTGAGTGGCTGAGACAGAAGGATCATGGTAAACTGAGGCCACCCTGAGGCATACAGTGAGCTCAAGCACAGCCTAGACTATATAGCAAAACCTTGTCTCAAAAAAAAAAAAGTTGGTAAATTAGGATGAAAATTTCTCTTCTGCTACTTTCTTTCCTTATAACCTGGTCAAGCCATTTAGCTTTTGGGGCCTAACTATAAAATAAGGGGTACAATTATCTCTAAAGTTCCTTTTTGTAATAGTCATGGTGGTGTATACCTGTAATCCCAGCACCTGGGAGGCTGAGACAGGAAGATCACCCACTGCAAGTTTGAGGCTAGCCTGGCTACATTGTGAGTTCCAGGCCAGCCTCAAGTACATGATGAGACCCTGCCTCAAAAGAACAAAACAAATAAAAATCCTCCTTCTTGCATAAAACTACATGGTTTTGTATTATTATATGACAAAGAAGTGTGGAAAGCAAAAACCAGTACAAGAGGAAAGAGAAAGTAATCCCAGCACTCAGGAGGCTAAGCAATGAGGATTGCTGCAAGTTTAAGGCCAGCCTGAACTACATAGTGAGACCCATCTCAAAAAGCAAAATAAAACAAAAAACAAAAACAATACAAGAGAAAAGGGAAAGAACTACATAGACTAAAAAGATTCTTTTTTTGGTTTTGCTTTTTGGCAACAGGGTCTCACTATGTAATACAGGCTGTCCTTGAACTCATTATGTAGTCCAGACTGGCTTTGAATTTGCAGCGATTCTCCTGACTCAGCCTCCCGAGTGCTGAGATTACAGGTTTTTACAGGTGTGTCACCATATCAAGCTAAAGGTTTTTTTTGGGGGGGGTACCGGGGATCGAACGCGGGTCCTTGGGGGTCCTTGCGCTTGCACAGCAGGCAGTGAAACCACTGAGCTAAATCCCCGGCCCAAGATAGTTACTTTTAACACTGATGGTAGTACTGAAAAACTGGAAAATATCCAGATGTCCAATAAAAGTAATGGGTTAGATAAATAAGGCTATAATGACACTGAAAACTATGAGGCAGAAGACCTTTAATGACCTGAAAGACATTCACATATACTCACTGGAAAGGGGAAAACAAAACACTACCTGAAGTATGCTTGGGGAAAAAAAGTGCAAAAGATGTATACCTGTGTGAAAGTGTACAAGGATCTCTATATCCATAAACATATTGCCATGCCACAGTAAAAGGACCAGAATACACTTGAGTTTAATAACTACTTGGGATGATGGGAATATAGATGGTTTTTATTGTCTTTTTTTTTTTTTGGTACCAGGTATCAAACTCGGGTCCTTGCGCTTGTGCAGCAGGCAGCGAAACCACTGAGCTAAATCCCCGGCCCCTATTTTTTTTTTTTAATTGGCCAGGTTTTCTACATTATTAGTTATTGTAGAGTTTTATCTTCTCATCAGAAGGGTTATAAAATAAAATAAAAAACAAAATCAAGCAACAGCCCTTCATTTGGGATCAAATCATGGGAGAAAACCAAGGTAAGATTTGGGTGTGCTCAGAGCATTAGGCTTCCTCACACAGCACCCGCACTCTAGCTAAAGTCGTGCTCTCCACTCTGGCTGTGTATCAGGCTCACTAGTGACCCAAGACTCACTATGAGTTACCCACTTCTCTCTGTCCCCTCCCCTGTTTCCCCTTCCCTTTATTTTTTTTTTCCGTAACCAAGATCGAACTCAGGACTTTGTACTTGCGAGGCAGGTGCAGCACCACTGAGCCAAATCCCCAGCTCCTTTCATTTTTTGTAGTACTGGAGATTGAACCTAGGGCCTTTGTACCAAACTAGATCCCTATGCATTTAAAACAAATTTTTTTTAAAAATCCTGAGACAGAGTCTCATTAAATTGCCAGGCTGGTATTATAGGTGTGTACCACCACACCTGGCTAAAATTTATCATCCTAACTATTTTTCTTTTTTCTTTTTATTTGGTACGGGGGGATCGAACTCAGGACCTTGCGCTTGCAAGGCAGGCGCTGGAACCACTGAGCTAAATTCCCAGCCCCCATTCTAACCATTTTTAAGTGCACGTCAGTGGTAATACATTCAAACTGTTGTGCAACCATCACCATCACTCATCTTCATAGAACTCTTCACCTTGCAACACTCAAACTTTATACACTCATTAAATAATAACTCTCCATACCGCCCCAGCCCCTGAAACCCATGCAATTTTTCATCTCTTGGAGCCAGACTACTCTAGCTACCTAATTGAAGTGAAATAAAACAGCATTTGTACTTTAGTCCCTAGCTTATTTCTTTAGCACAATGTCCTCAAGGTTCATGCATATGAACTTGTGGCATGTGTCAAATTCTGTTCTGCTGAAAGGCTGAAGAATATTCTATTGTATCTGAGCCCAGTATTTTGCTTATCCAGTCTTCTGTCAGTGGGGTTGCTGCCACAGTTTACTGTGAGTAATCCTGCCATGAATATGGGTATACACACCTATTTTTTTTCAATACACATTTCTTTGAGACCCTGCTTTCAAGTGTTTTTGGATATATTCCCAGAAGTAGAATTGCTAGAGCATATGGTAATTCTGGTTTTAATTTGCTGAGGAAAGCCACCATGGCTAGCTCAAAAATAAATTTGTAAACCAGTGACTTTCAGGTCTGTCACACAAACCTAGCTTTCCTGCCAGAGCTTCACAACCATGTGTCTTGCTCCTGAATATCTCTACTTTATTGTTCTACCAGCTCCACCATATCCACACAACCAAATCTGAACATAATGAGTAAAGTAAGAGCCAGGCCTGATGGTACACACCCATAATCCCAGCACTCTGGGAGGCAGAGGCAGAAGGATTGCAAATTCAAGCCCAGCTTGGACAATTTAATGATTTAGCAAGACCCTGTGTCAAAATAAACACACACACACACACACACACACACACACACAACTAAAGAGGGGGCACTAAGGATGTAGCTCAGTGCATAAGTCCTGGGTTCAACACCCCAGTACTGTTTTTTAAAAAAATGAAGTGGTAAGCACATATGGGCTAGTGAAGGCAACAACAATATCTGGGTTCAAATCCTAATGTCACTGCTTCTTAAACTGAATATAACTTTTTGTTTTTGGTGCTGGAGATTGAACCCAGGACCTCATACTAGGCAAGTGCTCCACCACTGAGCAACATCCCAGCCTCCAGCATCTCTTTCGCATCTACCCTAGAAAAGCACATAGTAAAAATTCCATGTCTTCATTAGGGATTAGTTTGCCAGTGTAGCCCAGGGCAGCACTCTGTACTGCTTGACACTATGTGAAACACGTGTGCCTGTGTGAACCACTGAATTAAATACACCTTAGGCTCCCTCTGACTCAGACCCCTGCTGACACGGCACTCTGCAGCATGGTGCCTGGCTGGCCTCCTGCACTGTGCCACTGGGGTTCTGTCTCAGCCATTCGCACTCTTTCTGACAGTGAACAACATCCTACTTTTCTTGCCTTTTCTATTTTCTCTAGCTCTTTCTTCTCTTTGCTGCCTTTACAGGCTTCCCTTCTCGAACACAAGTCAGTCACACAGTATCTATAATTTTCATGCCCTAGACTTCCTTCAGCTATTTTGGTCACTTTCTAAATGCACAAGTTTAAAAAAACAAAACAAAACAAAATGTAAGGGTCACGGCTATTCTAGGAACTTTAATTTATAGTACCAGATAAGTGAGATTCTGCTTAACTTTTTGTTTTGGTATTGAAGATTGAACTCAAAGCCTTTGCACTGAGCAGCATCCTGAGCCCTTTTTATTTATTCATTTATTTATTTATAAAAGTCTCAGGGCCAGGGATTTAAGCTCAGTGGTTCCAGCGCCTGCCTCACAAGTGCAAGGTCCAGAGTTCAATCCCTGGTACCCCCCTCCCAAAAAACAGTCTCACTAAGTTGCTAAATTGCCCAGGCTGGACTCAAACTTGTGATCTTCTTGCCTCAGATTCCTAGAATGCTGGCATTATAGGCGTGCTCCACCATGCCCAGCTCAAATTTCCTGGACCATTAATTATCAACAGCTGTAAGAGCCAGGCAAGTGAGACGTACCTCCATCAGCAAGGATGCCCGTGTCCTATCTAAACTCATGATGTCCAGGAACACTTCCTGAGCTCTCACATCACATTTCTTCGTGCTCTAGTTATATCTGGGGGTGTGTGTGTGTGTTTAAGCACTGGTAATGTAAACAAGAGAATGGAACAGAATTTTTTTTTTTGGTACCGGGGATCGAACTCAGGTCCTTGCACTTGTGAGGCAGGCACCAGAACCACTGAGCTAAATCCCCAGCCCTGGAACAGAACTTTTTAAAACCTCATTTTATCTTCACCCACTCAAGAGGCAGCTTCATCAACATCCATAGAGGGATATTCAGCTGGCTCTGAGGAGGACACAAAGTGGCATGAAGGTAGGCAGGCTCGATGACTTGCTGTTTCCTGCTTAAGCAGGCAGAGCTAGTTTTCCTTGTTTATTTCAGTGGCTAGCCTTTCCCACCCCTAAAATTTCCCTGCTCTC